TGAAGCCAGAAGCTACACTCAAACCATGGGGACATCTTTAGGTGACAGTTGTTTTCCTTTATTGACTATATTTCTCTACAGTATATTTTGAGCAGAGCTGGTTAAAAATCTTGTTTGGAAATGTCTTTGGTTTCATCTTTCCACATGCCACCTCAGAAAGAAAAGATTGAGGGAGAAAAAGGGGACTAGGGGAAAACTCCCCTTTTTTGCCATTGCAACAAGGAAGAGTGAAAAGGAGAGGATTTTGTTTTCCTATTGAAAAATATAAACCCATAATAACAGCTGAAAATGAAGTGTGCTCAGCATCCTGCACATTGGTACTGACTAGTTACCACCAAGGGTCAGGTGTTTCTTGTCAAGGCAGTTTCTAACGCCTGGACCTTTCTCTATCATCAAGAGGTGCTATTTGCTTAATGAATGTACAAACATGTAGTTAAACCTGTTAGAACACAACTTCTGCTGTATTTCACTGAATGAACAGTGAGGAAAGTGGCAACGTTTCTTGTGCAACGTCAGAACAAATGGTTTGCTAGTGATTGAACGGGGCTCGGTGCTTTTCCTAAGGCCACACAGCCAGCATGCATGCTGATCTCAAAAGTAAACCTCCTTGACTGCACCAGTCAAAAAAGTGACAGGGATCTCCAAGCAAACATTAACATTAAAAGCCAGTGCACAAATAGAGATGTTTTGTAATGCAGCAAGAAGTCTCTAAACCAGTTAATTATTGCATTTTTGTGAGAAAAAATAGTGTTTATAGCTTATGGTAAGTTATGTCAGTGTTTATGAAATCCTTTTGCTTGTTTTTTTCTACTCATATTCTCTAATGTTTGCTAAGTTTTAGCATATGTTGTAAATCCAGATAGAGCCATAGTGTGAATGGGGAACTTTGTTCAAGTGTTTTGCAGTATTTCTCTGGCATCCAGTTTCTGGTAGCTACTGAGAGGTCTGGGATTGCTGAGCACACAGGGCTGGCCATGCTCTAAAGGGAAAGTAAATTAGTTTCATGTGAATATATTAAGTCATATTTTTCAAGGATGCAAAGCCTCACGGTGACTGAAGGGTGAAGAACGATAAAATTGGGACCTGCAATTTCTTTTACCAAATGTTTTAATTATTCTGCTGAAGCCTTCTCCAAATGCAATAAGCAGGAGGTGAAAGTTAAAGAACCAATCTTTGTTTCAAATCTATACTGGGAAAAAAAAATCATCCTAACAATAAAGCTTGTCATTGAGCCACAGAAAATAACAGAGGTTGGGGCTCTGTTAATGATAACTCCTTCTTGAGCATTTTGTCCACAATCTCAATTATCATTTCATATGCTTTATCTCTCACATACATAACTAAACCCTTTTAATCTTTAATGAACTAATTTGTCTTAATTCAGTAGCTATAGGGTTCTCTGAGGAAAAAGTGAGAATTTCATTATCAGCTCTAGGACTACAGAAAAGTACATCCTGGGGAGATGGAGCAAGCGAGCAGAAAGCTCAGCTGCTGTGGCTACATCAAGGGTGGATGTAGTGGAGAGGATTTTTCCAATTTAAAAGCAAGCATCTTCACATCTGTATTGAGTGAGGCTTTTTTCCTCAGGTGATGGTGGATTTTTTGCAGCTGCTGTGCCCTTTCAGGAATCTTTATCCAGCGTTCAGCTTTGATAGCTCTGTTGGCCCGGGTTTGAAGTTGTCTCTCTACCCCATTTCTGCTGAAATATTTCTGTATGGTGTTTTCTTGTCAGCTTCATTATTCGACCTGCTATGCTGTCCCTGTTCTCATCTTTAATGAAGACTGACAATAACACCTTTCTGTAGAGCTTTTCAGCAGCAACTTCTCATCAAATGAACATTTTCACACAACCTTTTTTCAACTTATTTTTAACTAGGAAACCAGAAATGTACAACGCTTGTTGTGGTTCTGTATGGAAATTGTTGGAGTTGTGTCATAAACTGACAGTTTTCCACTGAATATACCAATGATTTTTTCCTTCTCTTTTGAATTTTTCTAGGAACAAACCCTATTTGCAGCAGGCACTTGCTCTTCTGCTTACAGCCCATTGAAGGTAGCTGGAGGACATTAGCCTTTTTAATTATTGCTTTATCCCCTCTCACCTTGACCTAACTGTGCCCTGGCAGGGAATGTTTGCCTACCTCTAACTGATTTACAGCAGATGTTAGTAGTAATAAATTATATCCCGCTTCCCCCAGCTCCTTTTTTTTCCTACAGCTCCTCGAATGTTTTCAAATGAAAAGTCTCTCAAAGGCTGTTTCTTTTTCAAAATGTATATTTTGAGGGTTTATGAGTATTTTCTCTTTTTTTCCCAGTTATACTGAAAAGCAAAGGCTTTTCCTCTATTTTTGCTTTCCTTTTGCTACTGGAAAGAGTGGCACTAAGGTGAAAATACAAGAAAAAGGAAGGTGAAATGAACTGTGACAACAGAAGAACTTCTATGGAAAAAAAGCAAGTAACTGAAATAGCTCATTGGCAAAGCACATGGAACAAAAAGGGGAAAAAAAGTCCAACGCTGACATGTTTTATTTTTTTCTTGTTTTTCCACCAGTTCCCTCCTGACATCATCAAACAACCATTTGGTACTTGTTTCATGTAGCACATGCTAGGCAAGGCGAATGACTTCATGCCTCTAAAGCCAAGCCTTTGTTCTACCAGCTATTTGCACAGATGCTGTCATCAGTGCCCTGGCCACGCTCATAAGAACCAACCTCCATCACCAGCCTTATGCATCCTGAAAGCACAGCAAAAGAATGACTGGGAATGTGAGGATCCAGCCTGAGAGAGTGTTCAAGGCTACGCTGGATGTGGATGTGAGCAACCTGGTCTAGTGAGATGCGTCCCTGCCCATGGCAAGGGGTGGACCTAAATGATATTAAGTGAGTAGTGAGTAGTGAGTAGTGATATTAGGTTATCCTGCCCCTCTACTTTGTTCTCGTGAGACCTCACTTGGAGTATTGTGTGCAGTTCTGGTGTCCTCAACATAAAAAGGACATGGAACTGTTGGAACAAGTCCAGAGGAGGGCCACAAAGATGATCAGGGGACTGGAGCACCTCCTGTATGAAGACAGGCTGAGAAAGTTGGGGCTGTGCAGCCTGGAGAAGAGAAGGCTGTGTGGAGATCTCATAGCAGCCTTCCAGTATCTGAAGGGGGGCTATGGGGATGCTGGGGAGGGACTCTTCATTAGGGACTGTAGTGATAGGACAAGGGGTAACGGGTTAAAACTTAAACAGGGGAAGTTTAGATTGGATATAAGGAGGAAATTCTTTACTGTGAGGGTGGTGAGGCACTGGAATGGGTTGCCCAGGGAGGCTTTGAATGCTCCATCCCTGGCAGTGTTCAAGGCCAGGCTGGACAGAGCCTTGGGTGTCATGGTTTAGTGTGAGGTGTCCCTGGGCATGGCAGTGGGGTTGGAACTTGATGATCTTAAAGTCCTTTCCAACCATAACTATTCTATGATTCTATCTTAAGGTCCTTTTCAACCCTAACTATTCTATGATTCTATGATATAAAGGTCTTTTCCAACCCAAACTGTTCTATGATTCTGTGTTTCCTGACTCAGAACTGGTCTGCAGACCAGAGGAGATTTCCTGAGGCAGGGATGCCCCAAAATCCCTGTCTCCCTCCCCAGCTCTGCTGCCAAGCTCCCCATGGTGTTGCTTGGCCAACACAACCTGTCTCATTGGACCAGGCATGATTTCCAAGCCTGGCCACTTCCAGGGAATGCGCTACACAATGTTGGTTTGTCAGAGCTTCTGTCTTTGAAACAATATGCAGAAACACACCTTAAGTAGTAGAAAGTGCTGAAGGAAGCCTTTTCCTATAGTGCTCCTACTTTGTTCCTAGTGGGTACCTTAATGTGATGATATAGGTTAATATTGCATGTGGCACTTACATGAAAGCTATTTCAGATGAGCTAATTTGCCAGTGCCTTAAGCAAAGGCACCAGTTGGTGGATATTACCTCTGTGTCTAATCACTTCCACCAGCAAGTGGCCAAGTGAAATTCAAGCTACTAATTTTCATCATTTTTTTATTGCTATGAAGTCCTAGGAGAATCAGAAAATCTAAAGACATAGCATTTTATTTCCAACATGCTTTAGGCAGGACTGTCCCAAAAAGTCAATTTGAAGAGAACAACATTGTTTTTGGAAGCAGGCCCTTGCCTTAGGAGTCAATAACCTCTGAAAAGCAGTGAAGCCTGGAACTGTCCTCCTACAGAACACACTGTGAAGTCCCCATCCTGCAGACATGCAAGGGCTTAATTGTGTGTTCTTGTAGTCCTATGGATTTAAATTGGACAACTCTTAGGTAAACCTCACTGTATTAATTACATCTGTGGGAGCAAGAGGTCAGCTCTATAAAATACTTTTGCTTCTTCTTGCTATTGTAGCTAGCTAAGAGTTTCCATGAATAGTTTAACCAAGGTAGATCATATAGAAGAAATCAATTATAAAATGTTAACTGGTGTTTTTAATAATGGGGAATTAAGACACAAAAAGCAAAGTTTATATTCCGGAAACAACTAACCATACAAACTTCATCTTAATCTTACTAGGGACCACAGAATTTGATCACCAGTTCCTTGGCAAAAGGGTATAAAGCGAGTTTCCAAACTCCCCTGTTCCTTTAAGAAGTCTCCCCCTCTAATTTCTAAGGTGCCCCCCAACCCCTGCTGAACCAGCCCTGGAGTAAATCATCACTAGAACCATGTAAGTGTCCTACAGACAGCTATATAAATCTTGTGTTACAGTAAAACAAGAGGGGGAAAACCAAGTAAAACTAATTCAGGACTACCATGTACCCAGGGTTGGTGACACACAGGAGTTCAGGCAGGTTGCCCCGCTGTTGCAGGGCTCTGGGTGCAGTATCATCTCCTTCTCAGAGGAGGAAAATCATACCCTTTTTAATTAAAGCATCACCTTTTATGTAGAAGTAAAGGAGGGAAATATCCCTGCAGGAGCAGCAAGGGAAGAGCAGGCAGGGTGGAACACAGGCTGCTGCTCAGACGCTGGAGCCCCCCGGGCAGCTTGTGTTTCCAGGCGTTGCAGATCTGATTTCAGCCTCAGCCATGGGCAGGCTAAGGGTTAACAGGAGACGCAGCACGTTAACTGTATCTGTGGAGATTATGGCATGTTTATCCAGTGTTCAGATTTCCTGTCTGAGTGTTTGGATTTCCTGAAATCCCTGCTATCAGCCCAAGTGCTGTCCACTGAGCAAACCTTTTCTCTCTCTCCCCTTTTTTCTCCCCCTTCTTTTTTTTTAGCTTTGCTCACATGGTAGGTTTTCCTTCCTGCTCTCTTTCCAGTTGTAGTGCCTGTGTCTCCTCACCGGTCAGGACATTTATGGATGCAGATCAACACTCTTAGACTCCAGAACTCTGGGAATCGCCATCCATTGGATTTCCTTTTTTATTATTCTTATTTTATTTCACTTTGTTTTATCTTTTTGTGGCAAGAAAACCTGAAGAAACATGCTCTTTTCTCAGCTGCCCATGGGAGAATATGTTTTAGTCTGAGATGGAATAATGGCCTTAGGTTTGAGGACCAAGACTGGAATGGGAATTCAGACTGCACGCGTCCTGGTGAGTTACAGTGTGTTGGGGCTGAGTGTGGTTGTTAATGAGCAGCTCTGAAACAGGAACAAAGGCTGAGCACGTCCATTCAATGTGGCTGCTGAGCAGACTGCAAAAAGCAGATGGGTGATGCAGAAGTTAGAACTTTTTCCAAAGAAAACAGCTAAAGTCCACTTTTAATTCCTAAAAACACGCTGCTCTACAGCCCATATAACCTCTAGGTAAACATTAGTGTAGCAAAACGTATAAGGCCACATTTTGCAAGTCCTTACTCATATAAGTAACTTTTACTCACATAAGCAACCTCAGTGACTTTAAAAAGGGCTCATGTAATATAAGACTTGCAGAATGGGGCCCACACTGAGCAAACTGCAATGTCTCGATCTCAGCAAAACTTAAAAGAAAAATGAGTTTTGTAAGTGCCTTTGCATGTTTCTTTGGCCTTTTATGTTTTATTGTTGATCTAGATTTAAGTTTTAAGAAGAATCTACGTGCCAACTATTTCTCTTATTGTCTCTTAAATAAGTTTGCAGTAGGAGTGACAACGTATTTCACGGAGCAGTGTTCCGGGAGGCCAGAAAGGGGCTTTCTGTTGGAGGGAAAGTGCTGAGTGCTCTGCTGCTCTGAATAAACTGGAGAGCTGCATCCAGACGTGAGGCTCAGCTAAGGTTTTAGATTCACCTTTGGATGCGAGAGTCCATGATGGCATTGTTAGTCTTAGGTGGGTTTAGTTAAACCACGGTCACAGATGCAACAAGTTGTCCAGTCTCAGTCAGTGACTCAGCATTTGAAACAGAAAAAGTCTTCTTTTCAGAACTCTTTAAAGCAAATTTCACTGCTGGCACCCATGGAAGTGTTGATGGAGTAAGATGTGGCAGATAAAGCATCATCACTGTTGCAACTTTTGTTCTGTCCCATAGCTGGAGGCTGTGGTTGTGCTGAACATTCCTAAACTACTCCTTGGAGCTGCTCCAGGGATTCAATTCTTTAATTTGAAGGCAAAAAGATTGATTCAGAAATTGTTTAGATGTTAGGAAACATCTACAGGAAAACCAGCTTTCCACAGTAATTTTACTTCAGCCCTTATTTTCCTTAGACTATTGCATATGTCTTGAATTCTTGTGTTAAATACTGCATGTCAGTCAAGAGACTTTAACATTTAAATTCTTGGGGTTTAGCAGGACAGAATACACTCCCATTTTATACCAGTAAAGGGAAAGATTTGTTTTCCAAATTCTTTGCAGAGCTTCCAAATCTGAAGTTTTAAACTAATTGCCTGGTGTGCAGGCTTTCCGCACAAACTTCTGAATGCAATCCTGCTGCTCTTCAAGGTTTTCTTTGGTATTGGTGGAAGGCTTTTGTGAGACCAGCCACACCAAACTCATGTTTTCTCTGCCTGCAAGCCTGCAGAGATCCAACTTTAATTATTAACATAAGGAAATGCTGAAGCTGAAGGCATTTCATGCATTGAGATGTCAGTTCTTGCTGTGTATGTAAGTGTTTACTTTCATTGTTGGGGGTTGGCAGGGAGAACAAGGAGGCCCTCACCCAAATTAGAGTGGACCATGGTGTCCTATCTCGCGTTTAACATGCAATTTGGTGGTCTGTGGTCATGGATGAGACTAATCTGGCTATAGCAGAAATGTGCCCTTCTCAAAGCTGGCAGAAGAGATGAAATGTCACCAAGAATCAGTGAACGGCAGAAGATACAGAGTACAAATGAGGACTCAGTGGAAATATAAAGACTTCTCTACGTTTATCTAAACCTCCTGGTTTTAGGAATTATGTTGGCTTTCCAATGAGCAGGATGCTTGAGACTGGGTCAGTTGTGGGGCTTCTTCCCCCTTTTTTACAGGACAATCAGAACTTTCTGGTTTCAGTCAAGTTGGAAATGCTGTGGGAATAGTTTTTGTGGTGGTATTTTAGTATTTCCTCTTCTGCTCACACCCAGACCAGGAAGCGCAGAAGCACAACCTTCAACTCATTGTGTACATGTTTCTTTTTATAAACCTGAATTCCCTTCCCTCCCCCTTTTGTGTGTCGTCCCCCCTGTGTTCCATCCCCCCCCTTTTTCTTTTTTCTCCTTATGGCTCTCACATAGGATTAAAGTTCTGCTTCATTTAGACTGTGGGAATTTTTCATCCTTCTTCATATAGCTATACCAAGCACTAAATAGTTCATTAATAAGTGATTATGACATTAGTTTTGAATTACTTAAGTGCAATATTCCCAACTCAGCTAACCATGGACAATAATGTTAATGTGCTGGTATCCCCCAGCAGATGTTTCTGCTGATATTTACTCCTGAACCTTCACCAGTGTGAGGTCTAACTGGCCACTAAGACCTATCTACCCAGCTGCCCATGAAGAAGTTCTGCAAAAGGTCATTTTCTTTGTAACCAGCTGCATCATTAAACTCTTCCAGATTAGAGACTTCAAGCTTTATTGTTTCCCTCCCTCTTTTTCCCTTTCTGCACCAGTGAGGAGGTTCAACTCATGCGCCCTTGCTCCATGTGTCCAACTCATTCACCATCATGACTGTCAGTCCTCCTGCCTTCCTTGCTGGTGTTGGCAAGTATGGATAAACAATTTTGACAGGTATAGAGTCCTTCAGGGCTAACTTCACACACAGAGTGATGTTTCTCTGCTCAGATGATAAATGGACCAGAGGAACTGAGCCACTTTCTCTGAAACTTTTCCCCACATCCAAAGCTTTTAGACCCTCCATTTCACACCGTTTTCCTCAAAAAGCAAAGAATGCAATTTGGTTTCATACCTAAGGAAAGCAGATCGCATTTGGATTGCAACTCTTCCTTCACGACTCTTCAAGCCACCTTGTAGAGTCTTTAATCCACCATTTTATAAATGAAAATAAACTTAAGATGAATCTTAAATTTGGCCCCCCAGAGGCAGCGATGCTTTTCGTGTGTTCTCCTCTATCTCGGATGGAATTAACAAAATCCATCTGTCTCTGTGAGTCAGCAGAAAAGTATTCCTCTTTTATAAGAGTTAAGGGACATGGGATAGGGCAATGTCAAAGAGCAGAAGTCTTCCTCCAGCTCAGCATTTGCACGGCAGCCATGGAGAGGAGGTCGTGTTTTCGCTTCCCATTCACGGAACGAGCTAGATTTACACCAGCAAAGGACGTGGCCTGTGGTGTGCATGGCCATGGCTGTCGAACAAGGCTCCTTTCATCAGCAGTAAACGTGAACAAATGTGCGAATGGCACCAACCAGCATGCACCGCAGTGTGGCGGCCCCTGGAAAAGTCAAAAGAAAACTCTATTTTCTTCTCATCACAAGCAAAAAGAGGAAGCTTCCCCCCTCCCCTTCCACCTCCACCACTACCACCCTGGCTCGAGCAAGTTGATCCATAGGTATTTGTGTGGGGGTTTGTTCTCCGCGGTTAACCACATAACAATTTGAAGCATGTGGCTAACTCAAAAGAAACTGCCTTTAAACATTTGCAGACTGTAATTGTGTTAGGGAGAGCGGAAGCGCTGAACATCCCACAGCAAGGTCCTGTGAAGAGGGAAAAACCCCCTTGTTTTATCTCTAGGAGTTTCTCTTCTTGCCAATGCTCTGCAGCCAGGGCCAGATGTTCCCCACCTCCTGTTTTGTGTCTTTATCTGGTGTGTCAGGGCAAGAAACAAAACAGAGAGAAAAGGGGTGGTGATGAAGGGGAGGGCATTTCAGCACACAGCTTTCACAAATAAAGCTTGAGTAATAATAACAAACAAATTGGAGAAGCTTTACTACGAAGCTGAGCGTGTGTGAGACCACTGGGTGATCCCCAAAGGATGTGGTGACAGGCAGCATGGGGCTGGAGACCAGGCTCCAGAGGGCCAGCAAGGAGAAACCCTCCTCAGGGTGGTAAAATGCCCCATTCAAGCTCTTCCATCCTTCAAACCTGAATCTGTTGGGCAGGGAGGAAAGGCTGGAGGAAGCCCATGTGCAGCTGTGCTTGTGGGAGTAAAGATACCAAGACCACATGGTGCCACAGCGCTTGTTATCACAGAGACATGGGGCTATACTAACATCCAGTTTTAACGAATTTTGGGCTTAAGGAAACCACTAAAACTGAACATTGCAACATTTCCCCATGGGACGAGATGCCTGTGAGACATTCTGCAAGTGGGTTGTGGCTCCCAAAGGTCATGAGCTTTTAATTTCCATCCATTCCCAGTGTATTCTCAGTCTATGATTAGGAGAACCTTTCCTTGGCCACAGACATGCTCTTAAGTGTTCATTACACAAATAAAATAGTGCAATTAATCTTCTTCACCCTGCTGCAAGCCTCTTTTGTAATTCAGCAGGTAAAAATACCATATCTGTACAATCACTAAAATAGCCCCTGTTCTAGGAAAGCCAATGACTTCTGGAGCGTGGCCTGAAGGTTGGAAATTCAGCCTGCTCTTGAGAAAGGGTAAATAAGGCATTACCAAGTCTTCTCTCTGTTACAGTGGCTGGAGCTGTGGCCTTGTGGCACAAGGATGGGGTAGGATTGCAGTTAGAAACCAAACTGTGCCCTGTGGTCCTGTAGCCACATGCATTTCTCCATATCTATTCTCCATTCTGGGGACTAAAGAAATCAATTTTTAGTCAGTGGCTGAACAACAGCCCTGATATTTCACCTTTTGGCACTAAATTATAATGTGACTGCAGGCAAGTCACTGCAGAAGTGTGGCTGGCTCCCCGCTTCTTCTTGTTCATCTGTGCAGTAACCAGAAGGAAGCATGTACATGGGAAATGCAGGCACACGTTTGATGTGCTCCTCAAAACTGCTGGGGCAAGGAGAGGGAGATGCCTCCTGCCAAAGCTGGCACAGCTGCATGCCCTTTTTATAGCAGTTGGCCAAAAGTGATTTTATTCTGGCCAGAACTGCCAGCCAGAGAGGCAGCAGGATGTTTCAAGGCACTGGGACAAGCCTTATGGTATCTAGATTCAGCATAACTCCAAGCCCTTAGCATAATAATACGGTTCTGTGTAAGAACATAAAACCATCTGAGC